GCCACATACACAGGACATTCCCCCCCCCCAATGCCCTAGATTTCACTAATATCATTGTCTCAGGAAGCTCTGGGGCCTGCAGCCACTTGCATTCCTGGCCCTCTGTTCCTTTGTAAGCCTCACCCTGACTTCCCTTGCGGGCCAACTCAGGGTGTCCGACAAGAACAATTGCATATTGAGAAATCAGAAGCAGAACCCGTGTGAGCCAGGTCTGAATCTGTAACAAAAGCTCCCAGTAGTGTCCCGTAGAAAAGAAAATCCCATGCTGGGAAGGCCATTCTGCGACATTGCAACAGTAAAATGTCTCACTTCCAGGGACTGCCTTGTAGCAGTCGCACGGTACTGAGGGTAGATGCCCCTTTATGGCATCCTCGTTCTGACGTGGAGTGGGGAGCCCGAGACGTCTTTCGCGACTTTGAGGATTTCGTTTTCAACTCTCCGCTGGGGCTCTGTGCTGAATGAAGGCAATAGGGTTCTTTCAAAGCAGGTCTATCTCCTGTCTGTCATAATGGTGTGGCTGTTTTGTTTTCCCCTTTTCTAGACTAACAAGGGGGATGAGCTCTCCAACCGGATCCAGAATACTTTAGGCAATTATGATGAAATGAAAGACTTTTTAACGGATAGATCCAATCAGAGTCATCTTGTTGGTGTTCCCAAACCTGGCGTCCCTCAAACGTCTGTGAACAAGATCGATGAACATTTTGTTGCAGACTCCAGAGCCCAGACCCAGCCCTCCTCCGTGTGTAGCGCTGCCTCTTCCACACCAGCAGCTGTCCCAGGGCAGCAGAGTAAGAGGGGCACCATGGGCTGGCAGAAGGCTGGACACCCACCACCTGATGGCCAGCAGAGAGCAAGTAAGCACGGACACAGATTGTTTGGGTTACGCAAATCTGCTCCCTCAAGGAACAGTAATAAAAAACCTAACCCCGGTGTGTTGAGGCCCACATCCTCATCTTCCTCTTCTTGTTCTTCCTCCAACTCAGCACCACAGGGCTCTCTCAGGACCTTGCTTGGAGATGGCGTCGGCAGACAGCAGCCTCGAGCTAAACAAGGGTGCAATGTGGAGGTGGGTCTGCAGACCCAGGACAGGCCACCTGCTACGATGTCAGCCAAGCACAGCAGCGGGGGACACTGTGTTCAGAACTTTCCTCCATCTCTGGCTTCCAAGCCCAGCCTGGTCCAGCAGAAACCAACTGCGTATGTGCGGCCAATGGATGGCCAAGACCAGGCTCCTGATGAGTCTCCTAAGCTCAAGTCGCCCACGGAAACCAGTGTGCACTGCACGGCCTACAGGGGAGTCCCAGCCTCCAAGCCCGAGTCAGCCCGGACCAAGGCCAAGCTCTCCAAGTTCACCATCCCCAAACAAGGAGAGGTGAGTCTTCTGGATGGTACTCCCATACAGCTTAGTCCATAGGAGTGATGACTTGGTGGCATTGTTTGCGATGGCATTGTTTCCATGTGGCTTCCTTCCCCTGATGTGACAGATTCCACGATGTGGCTGGTTTCACGTGGTATGGCTCAGTAACTAAAGGAGAAGCCCACCTGCGTGACCATTTTATGACTCTTAAGTGTACTGCTGTCAGAAGTCTAAAAACACACACACACACGTGTATGTGTCTGCTCGTATGGCTTAGTTGGGGTGAAATTCTACTTCAGTATATCCCAAGGGGTTCTCTGGTGAGCAAGCTAGTGTTATCTGAGAGACACTGGACTAGAAAGAAAAATACTTGGAAGACAATCTTTTTTTTTTTAATGTATTAAGAAGTTAAGTTTTATATGAAAGCTTTTAAAATTCTTAACATGTCTACCACTTGTGGAATGTTTAAGGAGAAATGCAGCAAAGTAAGGCCTAATAGTAATTTGTAATGTTACTATTTAAATATTTCAATGTTGGATTTATTGAGCATCTGGATATGGAAGATGCCCTGTCCCTGTCATGGTATTTAGGGTTTGGGTTCAGGTTCACTGAATTATTACTCGAGCCTCCAAGTCCTATAAACGTGATCTCCGAGCCCACGAAGAGAGTGACATCTCTTAGTTCAGAGTCTTCAGATTTGCATTCTGATGCTATTCTCGAAGTCTTTGCTTCTTGTGTTGCATTGCGTATGGGGTGGCTTTATTGTGTGGAATTTATTGGAATTGTGGAATAAACAGGTTATATAATCATCCAGGTGGCAAAGAGGCAGTGGCAAGCCACTTTGAATAGTCAGTCTGAAAGGACAATGAAGTTTCGCTTGAGAGAAGATACTGTGCTTCATACACCTTGATGATCATTGTCAAGAACGCACAAAGCATGAATATGACTCTGGACGTAGACTGTTTTGCTCTGATGTGGTATATACTAACTAGAGTAAGAGTTCCAGAACAGTGTACTTAGGAACTGTTTGGCTGGCTTTTTTCTTTCTTTCTGACATGTTCTTGAAAGACGTAGCAACTGTGCGAATAAAATAACCTTTGTATCTTAATTTGATTTCATCACCAAATGAAACAATGACTGGACGTTTCTTGTTGCATTTCCAACAAGGCTGAGCTTAAATATTTCTGAGCTAATCATCTCAGAAATCACCTTGGACCAATTGGGAGGTCAGCATTTTTTTCCCCTTAGCGAAGGCATCTTGTTTACTCTACAGGATGTTTCTTGTTGTTGTCAGGTACCCTCAAGTTGGTTCTGCCTCAGAGCCCCCCTGTGTACAACAGAGCAAACCACAGCCCTGCCACACACCATGCTCACAATTGTCCTTATGTCTGAGCCCATAGTGTCGGTCCATCCTGTCTAGTATCTTCCTCTTGTTCACTGCCCTGAGTCTTTACCAAGCAGATGACCTTCTTCCGGGACTGGTCTCTCCTGACGACATGTCCAAAGTCCATGAGACAAAGTCTCTCCATCCTTGCCTCCAAGAAGCACTGTGGCAGCATTTCTTCCATGACAGATTTGTTTGTTCTTTTGGCGGTCCTTTCAGTATTCTCTGCCAGTACTGTAATTCAGACACATCAACTCTTCTTTGGTCTTCCTTGGCCAATGCCCAATTTCACACAGATTAGGTACACCATATAAGATGGAGGGAGTGATAATTGTAGTAGTGGCAGAACCTCTCTGATTTCAGGGAATATCATGCAAAGCAAGATCAGCTCATGGCTGATTCCCTTGATGTGAAGATCAGACATACTTCCTCCCTCCAGCCTTTTTACCAAACCTGACACCAGCTGTCTTCCTCTTCAGCTGCTTCTCTGCTGGATCTAAGAATTCATCACAATCGTCACACAACTCACAGACCATACTTACAGTTAAGTGGTTTATGAAGGACTAAGAGACAACTTGGGATCAGGATCAATAGGCTGCCACCCAGAATTCAGGTCAGGAAGCAAGTAGGCAGTATCTTCAGTGCACTGATCAGTAGTGCAAGAGACCATCAGAGGACAAGCCAGCTCAGGGCCAGGCATCAGGCACCAAGCCAGCCTCCGTACAGCTTACCTGAGAAATAGCAATACATTTGGACAAAAGTAACAATCCCTCTCCAGTGGAAAACAAAGGCAACGGCAAATCCACAGAGTTTAAGGGAAAAATATCTCTAGGCTATTTTTCCCCAATGAACCAGAGCAATTATGCATATCAATGCTATGTATATACCAATAACAACTTTTGATTTAATTTATGATGAATTTCTGCAAGTATTTATTAGAAATACTTACAGGTAAAATGTAACTTTAAATTCCTATCTTTCAATGAAAATAAATAAATTTCTACAAGCAGTTATTTTTTTTAAAGTTGGAGACACATAGATCACTTTACAAAATGGAATTTCATTAAGCGCTTTGATTTTTATCACCATCTCCAAATACCAATTTGTGATGTAAAAAAAACCAACAAAAAACAACCTTGACCCAGGTGACTTAAGTCTGCCCAGAAGAATCCTTTTTATAAGTTGAATCTCAAGCGATTCCTTGCTAAAATGATGTTTGTCAGCCAAGGAAACTTCAGTTATAATGCTGGGGCTGCTCACGGCAAGGCCAGCCATTTGAAACCACCAGGACTCCTTGGGAGAAAGAAGAGGCTGTCTACTCCAAGAGCTGTTGCGGGCTCAGAAACACGCAGAGGCTGCCCTGCCCCGTCCTAGAGGGGCTCAGTGAGTCGGAGTCCACTCAGTGGCAGTGGGTTGGGATTGGGTGTTTGAATGTACTTGTTAGCTCATTTCAGAAACCAGTGTGTCGATACTACTCTCCTTGAAAAGAAACGTGGACTGTTTTCAAAAGCTGTTGTGTTGTACACAGGGTCACTGTGAGTCAGAACCAACACGACCACCTAGCAACAGCACAGTAGTTACATGCAGCCTTGTGGAGGTGACTGGGCAGCTTTCCTCAGGCTTCTGGGAATACTAGTAGTAGCTTGGGCTTTTCCATGATGTCCCCCAAGGACAGTAGACTGGGAATGACACCTTGTCCTGGTATTCAACAATCACACTAAGATAAGGCTGCCTGAAACGGAGGGAGTCCGACCCAGGGAAATGAAAGCCTTTATAGAGGAAGGGTTGCATTTCCATTCCATTGCGGTGGGATGGTATTGAGCCGGTCAGCCTGCTGTCCTCTACTTCCTACAACGCCTTCTTCCCAGGATTCCTACATTGAATGCTTACAGGAGAGAAGTATGCATTGCTAGACAAGAGATAACAAAGGATAGAGTTCATAGAAAAAAGTAATAATAAAAACCCCAAACATTATATATATGGAGGGTTTAGTAAGATATTATTGTTGATTTCATTTCCAGAAATGAGTTGTGTAAATACATATATGTGTAAATAAATAAATAGTATGTTTCTTTAAAAAAACCCTCCTGATTCCTTATCCTTCAAACCTAAAGGATAGTGTGAGTGGTTAAAAAAAATCTAAACAAGATAAGGAAAAGTAAAATTGAAGCGGACTCGGAGTCTTCAGTGACAAACAAGTTCACCTCAAACAAAAAGAACAAGATAACAATTGGTAAATTTCTTTGAGGGGTGGGTTGGGCTCTGCAGTCCTTAATATTAGCAGAAAGATTGTGTTCTAGCAAAGCCATTGTAATCTGCATCTCATATCACGTATCTGTTTAATCAGTGTCCTTTCCCATTAAGAGGTGGGCTCGTTGCCTGTGGCAGCAGAGTGGTTGGTATCTGTTAATTAGTTTTTCTGCGTTTTGAACTCAGTGGGGATTTTTTAAGAACAGTATTCCAAGAGGAGGCATGTATATCCTTTCGCCAGGTACACCATTCCCTCGTTATCGGCCACTCCCGGGAAAATCCACAGTTATAACACGGAAGCTGAGGGATTTCATCAACCACTCACATTTAACTTTGGCAGGAACACTCGCTCTGAGGTTTGGGGCGGATAAAGCTGTTTGGGCCACACAATTTCAAACATACTACGTGTGTGGTTTGGAGCACGCGTGGCATCTGTGTGACAACACCTCCTCTGTGTGTGGATGTTACTCCCCGGGGGAGTCGTCATTGTTAGGGCCCGCCGACTTGCTTCTGACTCATAGTGGCCCTGTGCACCGCAGAACGAAACAGCCCCGGGTTACGATGATGCTTGGGCCAACTGGGGCAACACTGTGTCCATCCATCCTGTTGAGTACCCCCTCCCCCCTTTTTTTGCTGCCCCTCCACTTTACCAAGCATGATGCGCTTTCCAGGGACTGGTATCTCTGGAAAATCTATCCAAAGTATGTGAGAGGAAGTCTAGCCATCTTTGTTTCCAAGGAGCATTCTGGCTCTACTTCTTCCAAGCCAGACTTGTTGGTTCTTTTGGCAGTCCCTGGTCGTTTGCATATTCATCTCCAGAGCCACAGTTCAAGTGCATCGATGCTTCCTTGGTCTTTGTTATTCACTGTCCCATTTTCACATGCATATAAGGGGATGGAAAATACCGTGGCTTGGGTCATGCCCAAGCTTAGTCCTCAAGGGAACATCTTTGCCTTTCAACACTTGAAAAAGGTCTTGACCAGAAGATGTACACAAGGCAGTGTGTCATTTGATCTCTTGGCTGCTGCTTCCATAAGCAGTGACTGGATCCGAGTCAGACCAAAACAGTGTCAGTCTTTTCTCCATATAACATCGTCACCTATTGGTCCAGTGAGGACTGTGGTCGTCTGTATCTTGAGTTGTAGTACACACTGCAGGCTGCAGTTCTTGATCTTCATCAGCAAGTGCTGACGTCCGCCTTGCTTTTAATCAGCAGGATTGTGTCACCTGCACCCAGAAGCCTCGGGGTGTGTTTTAGGGAATTTTATGGAACAGTTGACCTGTCTGAACGCATGTGACAGGGCCTCAAGCTTCCATGCTGCGAGATGCAGAGCAGGGATTCTGACAGTGTGATGACTTTCGAAAGCAGAGGGGGGCGCTC